GATCCAAAACAAATGATTTAATCCTTGTCAAATTTACTGTGGTTTTGAGTCATGGTTGAAGAAATCAGTGAGCAATGTCTGTATTTCAAATCCACCTCAAAATTCTTTCAGAACGAGACCAGACTTTGCTCTTCTCTTCGCTCTGTCTTCCAGTGTTGTTCAGCGTGTGTATTCCTCGGCGCGTGTGTTAATCTTGTGATCTGACCTTTGACTTTGATGCCAGAGCTGATGGAAGGTGGAGCGAAACCTCCCGCCACTCTTCCTGGCTACTCGGTTCCACTTCGTGCCGTCTTTAGCTAAGATACACACACACTGCTGCCTTTCCAGATGGCAGGAACAAGCTGTAGGCCACTATCTTATCATTTCTTCTGTGGCTTGACAGTCACTTTTATGGCTAGTTATATAAGCCCACAGCGACAGCACACATCTGAACTTCTAACACAGTACAGTCAAAGCAACCTTGTCGTACAATATTATTGTAGCGATATATTTACAAGAAGTATTAAAGTTTTATTTATATTAATTATATTATATTTTATATATATATATATATATATATATATATATATATATATATATATATATATATATATATATATATATATGAGGCGAGGCAGTGGCGCAGTAGGTAGTGCTGTCGCCTCACAGCAAGAAGGTTGCTGTAACGAGGAGACTGACACGGAGGGATCCATTATGCAGTATTTATTAATCAAGCTCACATTCACACACACAATATGCACTAATGTGCAAACACACAACAGCAACAGTCTATGGTGGATAAAGACTGGCGATGAACAGACACAGAGTGTTTTACCAGGCATAGATCGAGGGCAGGCTGCAAGTATCAGAGTCCGTGTATCAGGCGTGGGTCGTGGGCAGGCAGCGAGTATCAGAGTCCGTATATAAGGCGTGGGTCGTGGGCAGGCAGAAGGCGAAGAAGAGTCAGAAACAGGCTGGAGTAGTGCACGAGGAATCAGGCAGGAATAACGCTCAGAAATGCTGGCCGGGGCTAAACAAGACTTCGCACTGACTGAGCGTTTGGAGCTGGCTTATAAAGGGTACGTGGGTCGTTAGCTAGATTCAGTTCAGGTGTGCTAGATCAGTGTAAGTGGATGATGTAATGCTTAGAAGTCCGGAGATGGTGGCCTCTGCTGGCCAGCGAGGGGAATGACTGGGACCGAGTCGGTGACAGTTGCTGGGTCGCTGGTTGGAACCTCGGCTCAGTTGGCGTTTCTGTGTGGAGTTTGCAGGTTCTCCCTGCCTTGGCGTGGGTTTCCTCCGAGTGCTCCGGTTTCCCCCACAGTCCAAAGACATGCGGTACAGTTGAATTGGGTGGGCAAAATTGTCCGTAGTGTATGAGTGTGTGTGTGAATATGTGTGTGGATGTTTTCCAGAGATGGGTTGCGGCTGGAAGGGCATCTGCTGCGTAAAAACTTGTTGGATAAGTTGGCGGTTCATTCCGCTGTGGCGACCCCGGATTAATAAAGGGACTAAGCTGACAAGAAAATGAATGAATATATATATACACACACACACACATACATACATACATACATACATACATACATACATATATATATATATATATATATATATATATATATACACACACACACACACATACATATATATATACATATATATATATACACACACAAACACACACACACGCACACACACACACACACACACACACACACACACACACACACATCTAATATAATATAAATTAATATAATTATTAAATAATTAAATGTTTTTAAACAAAAATAAAAGTGTCAAAATATGAGTGAAATTATGTGCCATCAACATTCACTACAACTAAAACATTTATGTAAATGTGCAACAATGTACTATTCTGACCTAGACTTAGAAAAGTATAATAATTTATACTTTTTATCAAAGTATATATAAATAATATATAATAAAATATTTTCAACTGTTAATTTTTTATTATTATTAACATAGCATGCAGGCTGAAAAAACAATATAATGAAATATATCATTTTAACAACCCCCACCCCCTTCCCCTTCAGTCTCTTTAAACTGGGATATCCAATAAATAGAAGTAAACATAAACAAATATCAAGCATCAATTATACAAAATAAGGCAATCATTCTGGATCTTGATCATTGTTTTGTGCAATAAACAAGGAGATTTTGTCAGCCGCTGAAGTTCAGATCTTTAATGTACACATTTGTACCAAGTTCACTCAAGCTGTGGATAATTCCAACATTATAATGTCCTGAAGTTGAACCAGCCACTTGTACGTGTCCAAAGTATGTGGATAAAGTCAATGTTGGGCTAGTATTTCTTTTGCAGGAGTTAATCCAGCCAGGCAAACAGCTTATTGTAGCTTGATAAGATTCAACATAGAATCATCGCTGATTATTAGTATGGAAGTATTCACCGGTACAGGATATTCAAAAACTTTAGATGAGATAATAAAATACAGTTGAAGTCAGAATTATTTGCCCCCTAAATTTTACGCCAAGGGGGGTTAATAACTATGACTTCAACTGTAAGTTAGACTGTTATAAATACAGTATTTGAATATGACATCAAATGAATTTTGCTCTAAATATAGCTAAAAAGAGTTTTTAAATAATAAACTACTAATGAATTGAATTATATTAGTTGGAGTCTTCTGTAAATAATGGTCAAAATGTATGATAGTTCTAATACTTTTGCTCAGATCAAATTAAACTGGACACGTTCTCTTTACAGAGAGTACAATTTGTTGTGTCTCTCATGTGACAAACCAAATAACAAGGTTGTTTACAAAAAAAAAAAAAAAAAGCTAATCTTTCCAACATATTAATCCAGATTTTCCATCGGGAAAATCCTGGGTGAAATCAGTTAACCTTGTTCTCCACAGAACTCCTGACTAAGCAGAGAGAGTTTTCGGGCAGTCATAAGGAAATACAATCTCATGAGCTTTGAACTTTGCTCCTCTTTAATATCGTATGCAAATTCTCCATGGGAACTGAAGATGGCTAAACACAGGCCTAAAAACTGATGGTAATTTCATAGCACTAAATCATGTTACATTAAAGGAAAGTGTGTTTACTTTAATGGGAAGGATTCTTTGTTTAATTTTGAGCTTCAATTCACAGGCTGGCACATGCTGCTTGTGTGGAAGTCAAGTCTTTTGGCAGTGCAATCAGGATTTCCGAGACACATCCCTGTATTTAAACAAACTCAACCCTGACTGTGTCTCTGATATGATCCTTAAAAAGGGCCGGACTGTTTCCAAATCTTGTGTTCTCTAATTCAGAGCTCTACCAGGAATAAGGAAAGGGTGACAATGCAACATTGTCACGAAACAGTGATTCAGTCATTTACTGTATGTGGATGGCAGTAAGACTGCAGTAAAACAGCATTTACTATGATCATATGTCACAAACAGGTTTGCACAATAGGTGGAATTGCTATGTTTTAGATGATAGAAGTTATTACTAGACTAAACTGCACAGTAAAAAAAGAAGGTAATTGGATGTGATAGTATGCTAAAACAAACTAGTCACAAAGACAGACCAAATTGCAGACCGGGGCCAGCAGTCACACTTTTACTATGGTTGAAGGGCACATAGTTTACCCCTTTTTTATGATTTAATACTAATATTATGGTTCTACTAAGTGTGCCAGTTTAGGTTCAGTTCAACACACAGTTTAGTTGTTTTTATTATAATATGTTCAAAAGTGTTATGTTGTGGACGTGTAGACAGCTCGCTGTTTTAGAAGGCGTGTTGCTTCAAATAAAAATAAGTTTCGGCTTCCCGCTCAACGTAACAAGGGGGCGGAGCCAAGAGCTCCCAGGCTCTGTGTTTGCAACAGACAGGCAGACAGAGAGAAGCTAAGCTAGCATCGTGTTTGCGAGAAATGCAAACGGATGAAGTTTTGAGTAGACGCAATGAAAAGTACACATGTTTGCAAACCTACATAAAGGTACAAACAATAATTCCGATTAGAGTGATAATGTGGAGAATATTGATCTTGTGTTGAGCCCAATGAGCCTTCCATCTAAAAATAGAGCAAGGGTGTTCCTTTAGTGACATTGCTTTGACTCACAGGCTGAAAATGGCAGACTTGAAACAAGAAACTGAGGATATGATCGTGACGCGCGGCGGTCAATCAACATTGGTGGGCGGGGGGACCGCACTCATACAACAAGTTGCGGTCGATCTGGAAACAGCTCCAATTGGTCCACCCTCTTTATGTTGTTAAATTGAAAAAAAAGGACTGTGTGCGTTCATATCACCCCAATATGACGGTCTATACACTATACTTACACACGTCTGTCCAAACTGCTTTAAAAGTAGATTTTTCACCATAGGTGCCCTTTAAGTATTTTTGTGTTATGAAGCTAATATGTTTTACTAACCAAGGAGACATTACATTGATCAAAAGTGACATTAAGATTTTTAAAACAAGTCAGCTGTTTTTAGAATTGGTAATAATTATAATAATAATAATAATAATAGTTATGATTTTTTTAAGGATTATGTGACATTGAAGTCAGAAAAATAACTGAAAATTCAGTAGGAATAAATGACATTTTAAAAGATAAAATATGAATTTTTTATTTAAACAGTATTAATATTGCACAAGACTATTGTTTTTATGTATTTTTACTCACACAGTGTTTTTTTTAAATCTAGCCTTGTGAAAAAACTAAATTTTAAAAAACAATATTAAAACATTTAATTCACTAAATGTTGTATATAATATAGTAATATGATATAATTTAATAGTTATTCATACAGTAAGTTAAACATATTATATATAAATATTATATTAATTGTAATGTTTTAAAAAAAAGTCAAAGTATGAGCGAAATTGTGTGCCAACAGCATTTACTATAAAAAAATAATTTATGTATCACTATGGTACCTTTTCAATTCAATCAGATTAGTAAAAGAAACCAAAAAAAAAAAAAAGAAAAAGAACCAAGCACAATAAAAAATAAAAATAAGATTAAATCATTGTGTCAACTTACCCCATTCTTCTGTATGTAGGCAGCATGACCTACCAGGCCGACTAGCAGGTCTGCTGCCTCTCGGCGTCCAAGAGAGCCATGCTCCGCTCGGTCAGTAGAGGAGCTGTGCGTGTTGCTGGAGGACCTCATGATAGGCAGACTGAGAGAACGAGGATCTTTCACACACCTCTCCACCCTTAGATCCTCTCCTGGTCGGGCTACACACAAACACACACACAAACTGTCATTTATGCTGGCCAGAACCTTGTCATTGGCATGATAAATTATACTGTTGATTCATCCATACAATTTTAAAATATTAACCATGCTACTTCTTTTCGAAGGTCAGAGTGCTCTGCACATCATTTTCTCAAATTACAATGAGAAAATTCCAACTCTTTCTTGAGGAAAGCCTATTGCATAAAACATTGTTCATTTTAAAATTAAGAAATAAGAAAAGCATTACATGTAGACAAAACAGCTAAACATAGAGCTAGTAGCATTAAGGCGCAATCCTAATTCTACCCCTTAGCCCTTCCCCTTACCACTGCCCCTCGATTTGTGTGTTCACGTGAAGGGGTAGGGGTGTCCCGATTCTCTTTAGCATGAAGGAGTAAGGCTAATGGGAAGGGATACCCCTTTAAACAGAGATTCTTCAGGACCACACTTGAAACCAAGGGCTAAGAAAATTTCCCAGAATACATTTACAAGAACTGCATGCCTGCACACGGAAGTCAGGAGATGCCATTGTCATTATTTGTCATTATTCTGAATTTTTACAATACACAAGCACATGTTTTATTACAATCATAACCGCGTTCGTGTTTTACGTTCATGCTTTGTAAAAAGAAATCGCTCAAATAAAAACAGCTAAATTTCTCTATCTATTGCCACATTAAATTGTTATGATATGATATTGTTGCCTTCAATGATTTCCTGAAGATGAATACCAAAAAATAACACAACTGGAATAACTACAGCAGTCGTCATCATCAATCTCATATGAAGTAAGAAATCACGATGATATATGACATTACCTTTTTTGATCACCAGCCAGTGTGGCTAGTAGTTTTCCAACATTACTAGCCACTCATCATTTTCACTAGCCACACTTTTGTTGTTGGGAAAATATATTTTATATGCATAAATATGATTTTGACATGCTAAAATGACTTGATTTAGATTTTGTGGAATGTCCACATGCCTCCCAATTCATTTTACTTTTTGTGTATGTTGTGTAAGGCCTTGCTTAGTGAGCACGAGCTCATGGGTCATGGTTTCATAGTGTTGTATTACAATTATTTATTTTTTCACATGACTTTTCAGAGCTCAAAGGATTTACCAAATGTATCTCTAACCACACTAAAAATAAATAAATAATTATTTCTCAGCAACACATTTTAAATAATGTGTGTGAGTGATCATTCTCTCATTCGGTTTTCAACAGGCTTTCTTTTGCCCGCACGAACAAAATTATATTTCAGTCGTTTCAGTTTGTTGAAATTACATTACATTGCAACTACATGCCAACTAATTCTCATTAGATTATAAGTAGACTGTTAGGTTGGGGTTAGGGTTAGTGTACGTTGACATGTACTTGCAAAGTTTTTATAGTCCGTTAAATGGCTGTTGAAGGAGGTGTATCAACAGACATTAAGCTGACAGTCTACTAATACTCAAATGGACCACCAAAATAAAGTGTTACCAAATAATGGTCCATTAGTTAATTTTAATGTACTTACTAACATGAACAAACCATTAGTAATACATTTATTACAGTATTTATTAATGTTAGTTAATATTAGTTAATGTTATTTATTTAAATCATGTTAAGTTACAGTGCATAAACTAATATTAAAAAGCACAATTTAGATTTTAATATTGCATTAAATAATGTTGAACTATGACTAATAAATGCTTTACAAGATTATTCATACTTAGTCAAGTAAATACATTAACTATGAACCATTATTATAAAGTGTTACCAAATTTTGAGATGCTTCAGTTTTTTAATTTAATTTAGACTACCAGCCCTCAAAAGTAAGCAGTGAATTACCTCGTACTCTGAGGTAGTGGCCACCAAAGCGGTAGGCTTCAAATCCCAGTGAAAGCGGTGTATTGGACTGATCCAGGAACAGGTTTACACGTGACAGCTCAATGCCTTTTCTTTCAAACACAGCTCCCAGCACTTCTCTGAAACACAACAAGCTAACAGTCAGCTAACCATGACTCTGAATACATCGATTAGTTTATTGCACCCCCTAGGGGCTCAAGCACAAAATCACCTCAAGGTTTTCTTCTTCACGGCTGGGACGATCTCCATGCTGACCTCAAAATTTAAGTCAAACTTCAGAGTGAAGCACTCCTTGCTGGGGTCCTGCAGGGGTGGAGAACGGACAATCAGCTTTTGCTTTAGAACAATTTATAAAAGCTATCAGTTACTGCCAATACAGACTACTTTCAGACAAAGAAAGGTCAAGAGCACTGACTCATGGATACATAATGCCTCAAAATCTTGCCTGCAAAACTAGATCATTTGCTTGAGACAGAAAAGCGATACACAGTCTTAATGAAAATCAGAGCTCTAGTACTTTTCTTACATCTGTGTGTCGACGTCTGGTCTTCTTTTTAACCAGTTTCATTCCTCCACTCCTGCGATCCCTAAAGCACAGAAGAATAGGTAATGATTGAAGTTGAGTGATGGTGAAGGCCATGTGCAGTGTTTGTTTGTGGTATTTTATAATGAAAAAGCCGGGGGGGGGGGGGGGGGGGGGGGGGGTTCAAGCTTTTCAGTTATGTTCGGTAATATGCCTCAGTGAACCAAAGTTACATATTTAAATCAATTACATTTAACTAATTTAGCAAATTTAGTTTTTCTTTTGAGGGATATTGAGTAGTTCTTAGTGACATTTGTGATATTAAATAAACGGTGACAGGTTTGCATTCCAGCATCTATTAATGGATGACCATGAAAGACTGCACATATTTTTTATTTTTACAGTTTAACTTCCATGTGCGAGCAAGTGTTTAATAAAAAAAAAACTATGCATCTAGTTTTATGGACACCTACAGGTCAAATGCCTATTTTAAAATTGTAAACACTTTTTTGAACACTTACACTGTCTGTTGGTTCTCTAGATTTGCCGAATTCAAACCACTAAATTAATATTTTGGCAAAAACATGCATTCAAGAGAATGCACCATTATTGGGGTGGTCAAATGTATTTTATGTTATTTTTTGCATTAAAAAAAAAACTAGTCATATTATTTAAGATACAGATCAGAGTAAATATTTCTTTATGTTTTATTTCTTTCTTGTTTTGATGTTCTTCAGGTGGAATAACTCGCACTCTGGGTGTAGTGTATCCACTGTCATATTGGAGTGGTATAACCCAAAAAGTCTCTTTTAAAATTTCCCTACATTAAAATAGAACCTAAATCCCAGTGATTTTAAAGGCCCACCGCAACAGGAGAGCGGTTTTCCCCGCCCCCTGAATTGATTGACAGGTGCTATGTCCCCATAACATGTATCCACAGGTCAACAGAACATTTCTTTGCAAAGAAACTGAGATTTAAATATCTGTTCCAACTCTCTGTGATTTTTACAAGTTTTATAGGTTTAAAACATTTTTGAAACAGAGCATGTTTTTAATAAACACAGTAAAATTTCTATACAATCTTTAACCAATATAATCACCATGGCCGCATGGTGTACTGCATATGTATGTGTGCTGCAAACGGCAATTGTGTGAGACTTATCATTTCAGAAAGGCTTGAATAAACTCCACCACATATATATCAAATAAACTTACTTAGTATTTTTGACAAATGAGCTGTATTGCAGCTTCATCTCTGTCTGTTTCACTGATTGCTGTTTATCTCATGCAAAGCAGGAGAAGCAGACAAAGGAGCGGTGGGTGGGGAAAACCAGCTCTTTTGCATTTAAAGCCACAGGTTACAAAAACAGCTGCACTATATTCAGACACCAAAATGGGCAGATTTTGGAAGCTTTAATAAATAATCTGATAGGTATTTTGAGCTGAAAATTTACAGACACATTTCACATCTTGCGAAAGGGGTCAAATATCTGCCATTTAGTAATGTGACTGTATTAACATTTCAATACTCCTTGATTATCTTTATAAAACGTTATTACCACTTACAACTTTTATTCACTCTAAAAGCAGGCCTGCAAATGAGGAACTGTATTTTAATATTTTTAAATTACATATTTTAATCACAAATCACAATTTTCACAGTTTCTTTTTTATCATTATGCTTTGTCTTACTTTAAATAATTGTAAGCAATTTTGGGGCTCCCTTTCAAAACTCCATTCACATTTTTGCACATTGCTCAATTTGAATTCTTGTTTTAATGCTTTGCTTACTAAAACAATGCAGAAAGCATGTGCAAATAAACTCTTTTAGTACTCATAATTCATTCTCTACAAAATCCTCCCCATGTGGATAACAAATTAACATCAGACATGTCGTAAGCTAAAGTTACTTAGGCTTTCTAAACCAAAATAATTGTGTAATTCACATTGCATCAGGAAGCTTGCCAAAATCACAGTTTGTACCAACTCATTTATAAGGCTGTTAACTTGATAAAGTTTAAGAGTTCATGTTTTTCCATTTCCTAAAGCAGTTTGATGATCTAAAACAATAGAGATAGTCGCATCCCAGAAGGTCATCTCCAGTAGATTACGCCACTGGAAAGTGCACAGCCTTCCTCTTTCATTAAAGCGAAGCCATAATAGATGTCCAAATGGAGAAATAAAAGTGAAAAGAACTGACCCTAGGTCTGAACATCCATCCTCTCCGTCCTCCATGTCAGAGGGGGGACCAGTGCGAGGCGGACAGGAACGAGTGGACACGTTCCGGGCCAGGATGGAACCTGTGGGGACGGGAAGTGAGGTAATGATAACATCCTGCCAGAAGCTGGTAATGATAATTAACCTTCACCCTTTCGTCTTAAGGACAGCTGACATCAGTTGAAGTCAGAATTATTAGCCCTCCCGAATTATTAGCCTCCCAGTATATTTTGTCTGCAATTTCTGTTTAACGGAAAGAAGATTTTATTCAACACATTTCTAAACATAATAGTTTATATAACAACTGATTTATTTTTATTTTTGCCATGATGACAGTACAAACAATTTTACTATATATTTTTAAAGATATTCAGCTTAAAGGTCAATTTAAAGTTCTAACTAGGTTAACTATAAACTAGGGTAATTATTAGGCACATCATTGTATGATTGAACAATGGTTTGTTCTGCAGAAAAAACAAAAAACATATATATATATATATATATATATATATATATATATATATATATTACTTAAGATAGCCTGTAAAAAATTTCTTGCTCTAGTAAACATCATTTAGGGAAAAAAATTATAATAATTTTAATTTCCACTGTATTCTCATCTGTGGTTCATTCCGCTGTGGCGACGCCAGATTGATAAAGGGACTTAGTCAAAAAGAAAACGAATGAATGAATGAATGAATGAATGTATTCTCATCTAAATTCAAACTGAGCAGAGAAAAGTCAGAGAGATGCTGTACCTTGTGGCTGCAGGTCAAAGCGCGGGTGCCTGTCAAATATCATGCCGTCATGAGCGGCTGGATGGCAGATGGAGTCACATGACTCACACAAGTGTAATGGACTGCCGTCTCGAAGGTCCTGACAGGACGGGTGGTGACAAACCTGAGAAGTAAATCATAAAGCATTAATGTCACATTTGAAGAGCAAAGTGTGTGAAATACAGTCCATCAATTGTTTCTGGCTGTACTGTAGGTCATAGCCCAATTTTATTACAATTTGATGTTTTTTAAACTATAAAGGATTCTGGCTCTGACGACTAAAAATAAACCTTCTTCAAGCAATTAACACTTTCGCTTGTCTATTTAAATTGCCCTCAAACAATATCCAACAGCACAAGCATTGGAAAATTCTGTCAAAAACATTTGACAATAGCGTCATTTCCATCAACGCTGAAGAGTTGGAAATAACAGTGATGGAAGTTACATTTTTAAAATTAAGAAAGAAAAAAGGTGTTGACAGCATTCTGTGGTTGAAATTACAGTGATTGAAGTAGCATTTTAGGTCTGCACATTATATTGCTTCAGCATCGATATCGCAATGTGCAAATCTGCAATAGTCACATCACAGGACCTGTCTAGTTGTGATTATACACTACCGGTAAAAAGTTTGGGGTCAGTATGATTTTTCAAGGTTTAAAAATAAGCTTAACCAACTCACCAAGGCTGCATTTGTTTAATCAAAAATACAGTCAAATTTGTAAAATTGTGAAATGTTATTGGTCTATAAAATAACTGTTAAAAAGTAGTTCATCATCATTTAATTTAATAATTTATTCAAGTGATTTTAGAGATGAATTTTCAGCTTCATTACTCCAGTCTTCAGTCACAATCCTTCAGAATCATAATTTTTCTAATTAATATCCTAATTTCCATTCCTAATTAATATTACTATTATTAATGGTAATAGTAATAAAAGCAATAATGACTGGGGTAATATTTTCATTTGCAACTACATACAATAAGAAAAGCAGTTATTTAAAATCTAATAAATATTGAACTTATTTTTACATTTAATAAATGCCACCTTCATGAACAGAATAACTTTCTTAAAAAAAAAAAAAATAAAAATTACAAACTGACCTCAAACTTTTGACCGGTAGTGTAGTTGATCAACACGTGATTTGTGGAGTTATTGAAAAGTTTAACTCTAATCTAATAGCGTGAACCATTTTTATTTGAACTTGTTCTTATTTCCGGTGACTAAGATTTTAAGCAAATTTAAATAATTTGACACAAAAAATTATAAAGCTTGGCACTTTAACAGAGGTTAATTGTTTAAATATTTTTACAATAAAGACTATGCAGTGTTTTACATTTAATTGAATTTCTCTACCTCAATACTGTTAGACTGCACCAAAATTCATTGGTGCAATTATCGTTCAAAATTTGTTTGTTTTATTTAATATATATTTACACTCTCTTAAAAAAAGCATCCCAGTCAATGTAAATTTCTAAATTCTTTCCAAATAGTGTGATCTTGTGAAATTGTATTTATATCGATATATATATATATATATATATATATTGCAAAAACAAGATATCGCAATGTCCCATTTTTCCAATATCGTGCAGCCCTATAACATTTTATGAAAACTGGAACAAACAAATAATGTTCTTTTCTGGAAATGATAGTAGCGGAAAAAAATACTTTTTGTGTAGTACATATTGAAAAGCTGTTTATTTATGTAGTGTCTTGTTTATACATGGTTGAATATATGATAAATGTCCTGCTCTATTGCTTTTTCTTTACATGAGCACAAATGGTAATTTGTGTTTCAGATTTGTTTTGCATTTTGAACGTTTTAAAACACAATAATCTAATAGTTTCCATTGTTTAATTAAGCCTGGGTTTAAGACAAGAATTAAACAAATACAGACATCAGCGAAAAATATATGATGATATGTATGGTGAAAAAAAAAAACAAAGTTTAAATAAAAATCTGCCTCAGAACATAAAGAGTTCAGGAAATATTCTGCTTTGCCATTACGCAACATTATGTTTCCATAAAGTTCAACATTGCATTAACTTTCTGTCCAAAGGCCGTTTCTGGGACAAGTTCTAAGGCCAACATCAGCAGGAAATAAAGTGTGGAAAGAGGGAAAAAGAAAGAGGGATAAAGACCTCCTGGTTGTCTGCTTCCTTCTATTGTTCTCTTGATAAGCTTTGCAACAGAACACATTCAGATAGAGAACCATGCAAAAACTACACCGCAAAATTCAGAAAACCAGCAATTTTCTCCTTGTGGTGACTTCTCAAACAGCTGCTTCTCAAACAAATTCAATTCAGGATCCACTCTAAATATATTTATGCACACATTCTCGAGCTAAAGGTGCCAAAACAAATGCGCCTCTAGATGCTAAAGCAGTGACGAAGCACCATCTGATAGAAAAGCACAAGAAGTGAGTAAGCAGGACAGGGAACATGTGCCAGCAAAACCCCTACAAACAATAGGAGACAAGAATCAGGAAAATGGGCAGATTCTAGAAGTTATATTATCACGATACCGCAGATTGAAAAATAATCATTAGGACTGAGAATGTGAAGAGTTGCTGTCATGAACGATTTTTATGTATACTTTTTTAGACCAATATGGCTTCCAGCTGAGAACAAAGTAAAGCCAGATTGAGGCTCATAAGTAAAAATGTAAGCCTAAATAAGGCTTAGAGCAACTACTGCCAAGGCAAACCGTTACTTTATCCTACCTGGGACTTTCTCCCCCCTCTGTTTTTCCTTTGTCTTCTTATTTGAAATGCATTTGCAATGAGTTAGAGTAGGGAAAAATTCTTCTGAAAGCCAGGAGAAGCACGTCAAGCCTAAAGTGTTGCCTCATTTTTTCTTGGTTTCAGTTTATACAAATGAAGCATTCAAAAATAAGAATAATTCATATTGCACATCAATATTACATTATAAATCTTATATTATATATCAATATTAAATTATTATTTGATTATACATCTTTTAAAAAGAGATATAATGTTAACAATATAATAATGCTGTCATTTAGAGCTCTTTTTCCACAGAAAAGGACATTTGGTAAGAATTAGAAAAGGGTTCAACTGTTGCTATCACGTCTATTTGACCCAATAGGATTTAAAAACTTTTCTGAAGTAAAAAAAAATGCACTGTGTGATCAACATAAGCATGTCAATAAAACAGGACCCTTTTATATATTTAAAAAAAGCTCTAAATGACCTGATACTGACCTGTACTTTAAATCTGGGGGACATGACAACAGTATTATACTGTATAGTATAGTATAGTATAGTATAGTATAGTATAGTATAGTACCTATAAACACTTACTAGGTTGTAAGATATGGCAAATAACCAATATAATTCTGATAATGCAACATGCAACATAACATTTAATATTTTATATAATTAAAATGCACATACTAATCAACAATAAAATCCTTTGTCTAAATGCTTTTGTCAATTATTTACAAAAAAAGTCTACTTGTTCAAACCACTTATTTAAAATTTGTTGAATCCAAACAATTCTTATGTTTTAAGGGGGAGAAACTGAATTATTTTATGTTCAATCACTTACATTTATAAAAAAAAGCCCTTGTTTTTGCCCCAAATGACCCTTGAGAGAATACAGAGCCAACAAAATCTGCTTGTGATTGTCATGTGCTGACGTTTACAAAGGGCCCGGAGGAGAAAAAAAGTCCATTATTGTTCTCTCCTCACAGTTATCAGACCTCAAACGGTCTCACGCCAGTGTACGCCCATAATTAAAAGGTCACTGTAGAGAATATACCCAAGAACAGTGATTAAAATAAGCACAAAGTGAAATACAGGACACTGTGCCTCTAAGGAATAACAAGCCATTGAAAGAGCACACAGATCATCAAGAGAGTGAACGCAGCTCTATCATCAGTTTTGCCTATGCCTCATTTCTCCATTCACACATCTGTGGTAAAAACCGCAGCACTTCACGCAGATCAGAGACTTTTTAATAACAACCATAAACCCTCAGACGCCCCTGTGAAATAGCAAACAATAATGCATTCTTGACACACACACACACACCTGATGCTGGTGTCACACACTCACGTGCGCCAGTCTGTCTCTCTCCTCCTGAAGATGACTGCTTCTCCAAGGTCCGTAAGAATGGCAAAAAACAACGAAGAGTTTCAGGACAACTCAATGCTTTGAGCGCATAACACCCCCCTTTCTGACTCTCCGTCGCTCTGCTTTTTCACTTCCCGCTTCCTTCCTTTTTACTGGCTGCTTCTGAACGGCTCCAACAGAGTCTGTCTGTGTGTGTGTGTGTGTGTGTGTGTGTGTGTGTGTGTGTGTGTGTGTGTGTGTTGTAGGTGATTCAGATAGAGCAGCTGTGTGTACTGACTGATACATCTAAATGCAGGTGTAAAAAGAGTTGTGGTTTTCCAGACACACCCACTACTCCTGCTGATTTTGCAGAGCACAAACAGATTTGCCCAACCATCATACTATGTATATATTAAAAAAAAAAAAACACACAAAAGCTCTGCCACACTTGTAGCCTTTCACTGCCTGGGATTTCGTTTTTTAAATCTGTCATTTATCATGTAGAGCAGGAGTCTCAATTCAAAGGTACAAATTTGATCTTTCATCAATGTTAAAGTTTTGAAAGAACTGCTTATGAAAGAATGATTTTTAATAAACATGCAAATACATATATCAACAACAACAACAACAACAAAAGTTCCTTCACTGTTTTAGTGGAATCAGTTGAACTTTTGCAGTCATATTAACTTACTGTGTGTCAATCAAACTGACTAAAATATTAAGTTAAATGGTGTATAGTACTATATGATAAAAGTACAATAAATGTTTGTTTTCTAACTGGCAAATGAAGTCATACGCTGATTTGAAGTCATGACCAAAGTGTCTTGCAAGAAAACTATACTTTTGATTTCATTTCAGACCCTCACCAAAAGGGAATTTAAATCCAAGACAGCAAGTTTTTTTTTTTTTTTCAAAGTAGCAAATCCAAACTTTTAATCCCTTACACACCTTTAGTATGAAATGTGCGTGGGTCCAGATTAAATTCTCAACTATACTGGATACGAACTGGAATCTGGACTTTGAGAACCCTGACCTACAGTGATCAGT